TATATTGAATTGCACATGAATTATGTTGCATGCAGCTTCGATAATACAACCCTGGGAGAACACTCAGATACAAAAGAAGAGAATCTAAGTAGACCCTTGGGCACTCTAAAATCGGTAAGTCCAACACAGGAAGAGAACTCAGTAGATGAAGCTAAGAAAGCATGTCCTGTGTTGTAGGGGGAAACCAGGATGGTGCAGTTGCAGTTATAAGAACAAGAGTCTACTGAATAATTCTGAATGGTCTAATATGAGAAGAATAGAAATGGAACCATTGAATTAGAAATATGGAGCTTATTGCTTTAGCAGGAGTAGTCTTCAAGAGTGGGCTCACAAAAGAATGCACAGTAAATCAGTGGCGAGCAGGACCGTAAGAAATCTACAATAAGGTTTTCTGTGCAGAGGAGTGGGACAGTGCCTGGAGAGGAACATGAGAACAAGGTCTGTCTGTCTGTTTATAATAGAAGATTCTAGTCTTCGTGGTATTTCTCAAAGGTAAAGAAGAAGCTACCTCCCCAAGGGGTAGTTAGAGAGATGTAGGGGTACTTCCTGGTCAACCCAGTTGCCAGGGGGTGCTCCTGGTGTTTACCAGACTACAAACATCCTGCAGAGCTTAGGGCATTCTTTCTTGAGGAAGAATTGTCTTAACCCCAAAAGCACTGAGCCTGTTTTTATGCTGATGACAATGATCTATCTTGGCTTCTGTTTTTATTTGATTCTCTCAGCAGAAATGTCTGGGCCTCACATGATGTTCCATGCCATCTGAGTCAAGCCTTTGACAAATCTGGACTGTTCTTTGATTTGTCCACCTTAGATCACCCCTTCTGAGATCTCCAGGGAATCCATCACTGTGACTAAGGGAAAGCCAGGCACTGACTGGTTTATGCCCATCCTTGAGCCTATTGCTGTGACAAGGAGGATGAGGTTATGCTGATTAATAAGAGTCCACTCGGGACTGGAGGGAGAGAGTGGCTCACCCCACCTAAATTCCATGACTGCTCTCCGTGGGGGAAATAGAATGGCTGCTTTCAAGGCAGTCCGGATCCTATAAGGACCATCATCTTTGGACGGATTTAGGAGTGATGAATGATAGGAAAGTACTATAGTTGTAACTCAAGTATTTCTACCCCCTCCAGTCAGGCCAGGAAAAGAGAATAGCCTTGAGAGAAACATAAGCACCCATCACCCAATGACTCCTTCCCCTTTTTCTTCTCAGTTACTTTCTTATCATCTGGATCTTCTGAACACTGCTTAGGAATGGCATCAAAATGAGTGTGGATGTGTCTCATTATTTTTTTCTTAGCAGTGCATTATGGTATTTATTGTTGATTATTACCATTATTACCATTATCGATAATACTAATTGGTACAGTATTTCTGATTCTATTATAGGTGTCATTAAAACAATGCATTCCCAAACTTTTAATTTATAATTCAAATCTCAGAAAAGGAGACAAGTGAAGTTCTTTATCCTGGTCTCTTTGTTCCTGGGATTTTTCTGTCCATCATGAAGAAGAGCAGAAACCAGAAAAATAGGCTACTTTATTTATCATTCACCCATATCCCATTTAATCTATCTTAGTTACAATATAAAGAATGGGTGCTACTTTAATTAGCACTACCTCTTCTAGGTGACTAAAATTAGGGAACTGTTTTTTGGAGTACAAACTTCCCCTGTACTAAGAGTACAGAATGTGTACCAAGCGACTCTTCCCACAATTTCCCGATGCATCCATAATCACAACAAATCTCTTGTAATGGGGCATTTAGAGTTGTGCACATTCAGCAGATAAGGAAGCTAAGAAAAGGTGACAGGTAGTTTGTCCTAAGTCATAAAATTAACAAGTGGCACAACGGATTCCAATTTCTCTTTTCCTGGCTCTAAAGATACTCTACTTCCTGTGACTTTTCAAGAGGTAGTAGAGGGAGAGAGTTGGGTGCATTCCTCTGCTCCCCTCTTTTGGGAATCTTGGAGTTACAAGACCAGAACCGATGGGACCTGATGCATTTCTCCCATGTGCCAGAAGAAGGTAGAGACCCACCACAAAATATGCTACTACCACTAAGCACTGGTCATTTTCCACATAATGGCACTTGATTATTGATGGTCTGGTCACTTGAAAACGTTTGTTCCTATCCATGACCATGTTTTAGTTTGCCTAATACCTGCTGTGCATTTGATCAGTTTTTCCACTGTCAATCCATACTGTATATCTGAACTGCTTCTCAAAGGTATTCATTTCTAAAGTATTGACATGATTTATCCAAATTGAACTTAAGTTAAAAAACTTTAATTTTTCTATTTAAACAGAATGAAAAAGGCCTTTAGCTACTAATGATTTGAATTGTGGTACAGAATTCCCTGGAATGTTTTTTGTAGCTCTCTTTCCCTTTAGTTTGGCTTGTTTGCTTATTTTTATAATTCTTGTCCTTAAGATGGAATCTCCATAATTGGAACCCCTGGCGAAAAATCATCAACTCAGCACAGGCTGGAATTTTGATTCCTTTTTTTAGTTTTAGTAACTTTTGTATAGTCCCCAGCTGTTCCTTCCCATAAACCCCTCTATGGCATTCTGCTTTAAAAACAAATCTGTTCACGCTACTAGGAAATCATGTGTAGAACTGGGACCAAAACTTCTGTCCGTTCTTGCCCCTTACTTGTCTCCTATCTTATCTGATGAATGGGTTGCCTTATGGTCTCTGACCTGAGGATGCTGGGAATATACCCCAAGGGCTCCCAATACACATTTATTTCTCCTCTACTTCAGTGGTGTCACATGACATCTACTTAAAAGTTTATCAAAAGCATCTTTTCCTCTGTAATTTTTTTTTTTTTTTTTTTTTTTTTGGAACACTTCTGTCATTTCCAGTCCATACTCCTGTCCTAACTGTGTTTCTGTGCTGGGCGAACTGTGTCAGGTTTTTGCTCTTGTTGTGTCATCTGTGGCACCTGCTCGCATTTTGGTATCATTTTTATTTTATTGTGTCTTATAACCATTGTTCATTATTCTTTGCTCTTAGCTCTTCATTGGAGCTTTTATTTTTTAATCCCATTTTTCTGCTGCTAACCTGGATAGGGAATACCTGAATTATGTTGGAAAACCTGTTTGCTGTTGTTGTTTCTTTTTTATCACAAAGTAAAGGAATGTGGACTTTTCTTTGGAGAATATTTTAGGCAGCCTGTTATAGTAGAAATGGAAAGGAGTTTAGAGTTTGATTGAACTGAATTTGAGTTGTGATTCCATTACAAAGCTGCCGATGTCCTTAGAAAAGTGATTACAATTCTCTAGGACTCCATTTACTATTCTCTTAGGTAAGGATAGTAATACTGACCTTACGAGATCATTGGAAAGCTTAAAAATAGCACATGTAAGGTGCAACTTCTGCCACATAGTGTTCGATTATTATTGGCATTGTAATGATTATTTTATTATAATTATTATTTGGTGGTCCATCTCATATTCGAATTGACAACTAGTACATGATAATGCTACATTTAAAGGACATGCAGGAGAAAATAAGCTATAATGGCTCGCCTTAAGGAGTATATAATCTTTTAAAGAAGGAGAAATATATACCCAAAACATGTAAGTCAGATACAAACATTCATTATTTTTGAAGGTAATTATGTGATAGTTGTAAACACTATAAATATTACTTAACACATCACAGAACACCCTCTGTGGCTTCTTTATTGTGACGATTAGGGAACTGAGAGTTAAAACAATAGAGGTAAGACGTTTACCCCACCTGTTTATGCTGCGAAGGGACCTACAGGGACTGGTGCAGGGGTCCTTCCCACTCTGGAGGTGTCCTTGTAACCTCCATGCTCTGCTGCCTCCAGAACAGAATGTGGCAAAGAGTGTAAGATGGTCATGCTCAACCCCCTGAGGTCCTCAAGAGGTGGGCTCGGTTTTGACTGGGCTGATAGTGAGAGGCCTCTTGGAGGAGGGACGTCTGAGATGGATCATGTGGTGAACAGGCTTTCAACAGGCAGAGGGGAAGAAGACATGGGTGCAGAAGTGTTCTGGGAGCATTCAGTGTAGCAGTGCGCATGTGGGGACTGATGGAGAAGCTGCTGGGATATAGGTTTGTGTCAGATGAGAGGGGCCTTGGGTTTTTCTCCCCAGCAGACACAGTGACACTTTAAGGGATTCGAGGGCTATGCCATGATCAGAGCTCTGGATTGATAAGGCTGACTCTGCAGAACGGTGCGGGGCATTTTGGAAGTGAAGAGAGCGTATCACGACTCCAGTTGGGAGGCTAGTGCAAGAATCTAGAAAAGATCGACTGAAGTGATGACAGAAAGCGTGGGCAGGAAAGGACCTGTGCGGGCGACATTGACAAGTGAGAATGGCAGTCGGCCGTGTTGAGAAGGCATGCAGAGACGGCAGCTCCCAGCCTTGGTTGTGAGGGGGGTAGCGGCTCCAATAAGAAAGATGGTGTTCATAGTTTCAAAAGAAAGGGCAAATAAGTATCACCATAAGATCTAGTGGAGCCTTTTGGCAGGGTCACCCAAAGTCCAGGGCTCGGGTGGGTCTTCACTCTAGTCAGTAATGCAGCTTGAATGGTTTCTATCACTATACCGTGAGTGCAAACATAACGCCTCCGATATTTATGAAGAGGGGCACCATGGAGGGAGTGGGCATTCATACAAGCTGCTGGAGCCGACTCTCTTCCATAAACTCCTTGGAGTCTCACAGTTCCAATCTACCGAGTGTTCTGCCTGAGCCCTTTGTTTCCCAGGACAGGCATCAAAGGGAGCATGCAATTGTGTTTGAGGGTCACTGACTAATGTAAGAAAAGGAAATCCCACAGGGAAACTCCGTTTTTCTTCAAACGTTGCTCCATTGCATTCAGTTTTATGTTATAAGTGAAAGAAAACGTATGTCATTCAATGAATGGCGGGCGAGCGGTAACTTGGTTCAAAAGTATTGCTATTGCCCTGTCAGAGCTTTGAGTAATACTCACTTTTCTCCCCTCTCTCCCAATGTCTTGGTCAGTGTTTGTCAGGTTCAACTCCAGCCATGGTTTCCCAGTGGAGGTCGATTCCGACACCAGCATCTTCCAGCTCAAGGAGGTGGTTGCTAAGCGACAGGGGGTTCCAGCTGACCAGTTGCGTGTGATTTTCGCAGGGAAGGAGCTTCGGAATGACTTGACAGTGCAGGTGAGTCTCCCTCGGTGGATTGTTACTGGGATGCAGCCAGCCGCATTGCTTATGCTGCTTACTCGGCCAGGCTGACATTCATGCCTGAGATCTGATAGAATAAATAGTGCCTGGGGATTCCTTGAACTTTACTCCACACTGCTTCATTAATTCTGACCTTCTTAATTATGCATTAAAACAGCAAGCAGCAAGGACTGGAAGAACAACTGTGAGTGAGGGGGGAGAGAGAGAGAGAAAGAACACAGACGGGGCTTAGTGAATAAATGTTTACTGACTACAGGAGCAGCAAGGCACAATTTCTGTGTCTGTTCAATTTCTACCTTACTTATTCCATTTGAATCTTAATGAAGAAGGATTCGAATAAATGGTTCCAAATCAGGCTGCTCAGTCACTGTGCTGTGAGGAATTTGTAACCCAATTGTGACCCCTGGAGGATAGTCGCAAGTCTGCCTCCGGGGCTCGCTCGTGAAGGTCCCGGGCTCTGGGCCCGTCCACAACAGACCATCCAAATCCCAGTTTCCATGCCGGTAGCCGAGGAAGACGGAAGCGTAGCAAAAGTGCACCTTTGTGCTGATTTTCTCCACGCCTCAGTAAAATTGTCCTTAGAACAGACCCCCGAAACGTCAGAGAGTGAGCAGCGTCTGTCCTCTCCTACAGCACCACACTGTTCCTAAGGCTGTTGAAGCCTCCTAGCCTTTCATTTGGGTGTTTCATTGCCAAGGGTGATTTCTGTAGCAAGAAGGGGAGAACTGGTGAAGGAAGTGATGCACAGCACCCTCACCTGGAGGTGGAGACCTGTCATTTGTTGGGGGAGGTCAGCAAATACTGTCGAATGGGGATTGAAGTCCTTTGTGAAAGTGTGAAAGACGGAGTGAATGCTTTCTGTGGATGGTACAGGTGATGCTGAGGGACCCCTCAGCACACGTTCCCCCTTCCTTAACCAGCACCCATTAATTGCACTCCTGTTTATAGCTTTGTGGGGGCTGCTGCTTTGCACAGTGGGGGACTGCTGGGCGTGGCTACATGGAAACCCCTTCTGGTGTTGACATACTATCATTGTGTCTTCTCCTGATGATATTTACTGCTGCATCCCGAAATGCTTTAGAAATTGGGATATACAAAGGAAGCTGTAGAAATGCAAATCGTCCCCCTCCTGCTCCAGCGTGTCTTTGCTGATGGCTGGAGGCACCTGCTCATTGAGCACAAACTGCTGTGCTTTGCTTTTAGGCAGTTTGTTTTTATAAGGGAAGTGCCTGTGCTAAAAAGTGTTTCGCTTTTTTTTTATTTCAGTCAACTAAAAAGCTTCTTCGTGTACCTGCCAACCTCTAAATCCAAGAATGTTCCCTTCACAAATAAATGACTTTAAAACAGCTCCTTGAACCAAAATATTTTATGTTACCAGGAGTTTTGAAGTTTCAGGTTCTAATCCTCTTCACCTTTACTGTTCAAGCTGATAGGTTAAACTAATTGCTATAGATGGTTCATTTGACAAACATGTATGTGTAAGATATACATTGATTTAGATTCTTTTTATTTTGACACACACTTCCAATGTTCTGGGCTTCCCAGGGGCTCACAAAGAAAGGGGAAACTCATTCCTGCTTTTGTGGTGACTCTTTCTTTAGGGGCCCTAAAAGCAGCAGAAGTATTAGGTTGAACCATATGGCATAAAACTATCAGCAATTTCATGTGGTCCAACGTAAGAATGTCAAACATGAGAAGCATGATATGGAAACTGAAATGTCAGTAGTACAAGATTTTAAAGGTGGAGAAAACACATCTGAGTAGAAGTCACCAAGACTTTGTGGATGAATTGAAACTGGAGTAGGATTCCATAGATGGAGAATGAGCATGGAGTGTGCTTTCTGGAAAGCATGGGTCCCTGTTCTTCTAGAAGCTAGAAGAGATGTTGAAGACTAGGCAGGAAGGGAGCTTAAAGCTGTGTCTTGCAGAGGTTTCATGCATGGAAATAGGGTGCTGTCGAAGGAAATGGGAGTCTGGAGATCCAGTCTGGTTGTAGGAAGGATGAGGAACTTAACCTGCATGATAAGTAGATGCCAAGGGAAATCTATATGGGGATGTCTAGCAGGCGTTTGATAACTTAGCTGTGACGCTTAGGGGCTCACTTCATATTTAAGGACGAGCTACCTAGAGCTAAATATTACAGCTATTGGGTTAGATGTGACTGCCCAAGGGGCAGAGGACAGAGGCATGAGCCGGTCTTTTAGGCAGCGAGGGGAGAAGCCAGTGAAGGAGGCATCATCCATCCAACTGATGTGTTGGAGGATATTTTGGAAAAGAAAATTACTGGTAAAGAAGTATACCCACTGTGAAAAGATGGGGGAGGATGAGAAGAAAAGAGCCTTTGGACTTGATGACCATAGTGATGACTCCAGGACAGGGTTGCGGGTGGTGAAAGCCAGAGCGTTGGGTTCAGCGTGAGCTGTGGACTATAATGAGGAGGCTCAGCTTGTCAGCGAAGTTATATTATCTTCATTTCTAAGTGCATGGATTATACTATAGAGTGTTTATATCATAACTCTCAAGTATTTAGGGAATACCTACTTTTAATACTAGAAATTAAGGCAAAACAATTTTTTTAAATGTATCTTACATACTTAGACAGTGTGGCCTCCCTGTATTTCAGTTTGCTCGTTTGTAAAGTGGGAATAATACTAGTACCTATCTCACTGGAATTTTGTGAGGACTAAATTAGTTAATTTATGTAAAGCTCTTAGAACAGAGTGTGACATATAGTAAACACTATGTAAATGTTAGCATTTATTAGCATCCTCATCACTGTGAATATCATCACCATTATAAGGGACAACTGCAGACTCTAAGAGATCACTTTAAATAATACAAGACTACTTTCCATCATGAATTATGATGAGGATATCTGCAATAAATTAAAGAGTTAAGGAATGACAATAGGATACATATTTGACTGGGGCAAATATATCTGTATATATTTGTGTGTGTGTGTGTGTGAATGTATATGTATGTAGTATTTATACATTTTAAGTAAAATGTATACTTTTAGTTAAATTAAATTAAATTTTAGTTTAATTAAAAAGAACTCTCTAGAGTTTGTAAATGAATTTTTGACCCTTACATGTACAGGTTTTACTTACCTTAAGAATAGTGGAATTTGAGTGGCGCCTGGGTGGCTCATTTGGTTAAGCATTTGACTCTTGATTTCAGCTCAGGTCATGATCTCAGGGTCATGAGATTGAGCCCTGCCTCAGACTCCACGCTGGGTGTAGAGCCTGCTTAAGATTCTCCCTCCCTCTCCTTTGCCCCCCACCTGGCATGTACTTGCGTGCGCTCTCTCTCTACAAAAAAAAAAAAAAAAAAAAAGAATAGAATTTGAATTTAGCAAACTTAAAAAGACTTTATACTTCCTCTTGACAATTGTAGTAAAAATAGAAACCTATAGGGGCGCCTGAGTGGCTCAGTCATTAAGCATCTGCCTTCAGCTCAGGTTATGATCCTAGGGCCTCCTGGGATCGAGCCCCACATCAGGTTCTCTGTTTGTGGAAAGCCTGCTTCTCCCTCTCCCACCCCCTGCTTGTGTTCCCTCTCTCTCTGTGTCTCTCTCTTTAAAATAAATAAATAAAATCTTCAAAAAAAAAAAAAAAAAGAAACCTATAGCCATAGTGTTCAGCAAAGATTCCTAGATTCATCATGGTATTATTGCTTTTAAAATATATTTTTGTAAAGTGATTATTTGCCACATACTATGTTTGTTATAAGCAAACTGTAAAGAGTTGTACAATTTTTCCTACTTCATAAACAATATTTCTGTGCATGCTTTTATTATTGTCCTTATACCTACAAGTATGTGAAATAAAACTAATCTTTGACGTAGTATGCATAGTTGCTTGGTATTTTTCTTTAGAAAGAGTTCTTGTCATCTCTTGCAACAGAATATTCAGGTCCCATTCAAATGATATGTCTCTCATTTTCCTAATCCCAAATCTAACATGCTCCATATCAAAAATTTCTGAAATCACCTGTATATGATTTTGAATTTATTATTCAAAATTATACATGGAAAATAATATTCTAAAGTAGTTGTACAATTCAAAATGTATGAACTGTGTCATTAGATTAACTTACAATGACAGGGACTTGAGAATTTATCTAAGATTTTGTTTGAGCAGAATTCATTGTATTCACATGAGCTGTATTAATATCATTAGTATCAATATAGGTTTATTAGCCAGTATATTAGAGTCTCCAAAGGAACAGACCAGTAGGATGGATTAATCCATCCATCCCTCCATCCATCCATCCATTCATCCAGCCATCATTTTTTTAATCTATCAGTTCTATCTATCTATCTATCTATCTATCTATCTATCTATCTATCTCTCTATCTATCTAGGATAGACAGATAGATACATAGATAGATTTATTATAAGGAATTGACTCACATAATTATGGAGGCTGACAAGTCCCAAGACCTGCAGTCTGCAACCTTAGTTTGGTCTCAGGCTGAAGGATTAAATCAGGAAAGGGGATGGCATAGTTTCAGTCTGAAGGCTCACAGCCTTGAGACCCAGGAAGAGCTAATGTTTCAGGTCAAGTCCAAAGGCAGGAAAAAAAAAAACAAACAAACCCTCAAACAATGTCCTTTCTAGAAGGGCACTGAGAAAATGAAATTCCCTCTTGTTTATGAGAGAGTCAGCCTTTTTTAAAATTTTTCTCCCCAGGCCTTCAACCGATTAGATAGGGCCTACCCATATTGGGGAGAGCTGTCCGCTTCACTCAGTCTACCAATTCAAATATTAATCTCACCCCAAACACCCTCACATGCACACCTAGACTTATGTTTGATCAAATGCCTGGGCACCCCATGGCCCAGTCAAGTTAACACATAAAATTAACCATCACAGCCAGGAAATGAGAAACCTTGTTATAGTTAATTAATGTTATAGGAATGCTATTCTATTTGTATTCTTTTTGTAATAATTAATTATACTTGCAAAATAGGT